CAAATTTCTTTATTTTTAATTGTCAGTTATGTTTATTTAAAATGTTGAAGGATTTATCAGATTCTACACACTGAAATTTGAAAAAGTAGAGAAAGTTGTTGACGTCTACGAAGCTTATTTTAAGTCAGCGGGGTTCAGCGCTCTGAAAACCTCCCTGGTCATTTTTCTTTCAGCCAAACCAATCTGCATGGCAGATTTCCGCCTCCAATAATACCTGGCACCTGAGCAGAGCCGCAGCCGTAACAAACTGAGTTTAGATAGCAGCTCATGTTCATTTATCATCCTACTCACAAACTAAGTCACAACCATCACCACACCTCCCCCGGCTCCTCCATAACACAAACTTATTATCATGTTGTTGTTGTTATGCGCTGTACTGCCGCTGCTGAGATGAACTGGGAAAATGACAGTTTGATTGAGGCTTAAGCACGTCGGACAGTGAAAAACCAAAGCTCTGTGAAAGAAGAGGAAGATCTCTGCGACGCCGCTGCTGTGTTTCACTGCTGTGTGGGTTGGAGTGGTGAGCAGGAGAGCGGAGGAGTTTACGAGAGCGGCTGCACCAGACTCGGGAGCAACAGTAAATAAATCTGGGCCGTTGTTTAGGAGCATGTAATGAGCAAGCATAGCAACAAATAAAAACACCTTCTGTGGCTCTCGAGGTGCTTTGTAAGCAGGTTAACCCCGAAGATGTAAAATGCGCTCCTTTCTACCTTCCTCCTAATCTCTTTTTTTTCTATTTTATAATCAGAAAATCCTACAGAGAATGAAAGACACTGGAATCTTCACTTCATATTGCTGTCTTGACTCTTGTGACCTGATCTTTGTTTAACTGAGTTCCTCTTTTTGTAGAAAGCGGAGCACTTTTCAGTACCTTACAAAAGATGACTCCAAACGCAGCATTGGGCAGAATACAGCTTTAGAAACATAAATGTTTCTAAAGCTCCTAATATGAAACAAACACTGAATTTAAGTGTTTTTTTTCTTTACTTAATGAATTTTTGACATCAACATTCAAGCCAATGTTTGCGTGTCAAGAGTTTTCTTTCTTGAAGAGGAAAAAAGCACGTTTACGTTTATTTCAGGAGAGCAGAAAGCTGCATGTTGTTTCCTGACGTCGTCCCCTGTGGGACAAATAAAGCACTTCTGAACTATGTGAGAGTAAAAACAAAGGTGCGCGTCTCTTTTTTTAAACAGCACTGATGGCAAACATGTCATTTGCAAACACTCACTGTGGGCTATTTAAAAACGCTGCATATTGATTATTGATTTTAGCTGTCATGTACCGATTTTGATGCTATCCTAAAGTAGAGGCAATCTCTCAAAAGTGACAAAGAAGTTGTGTCTCAACCTTTTTTTTTTTTTTAAATAGACATTTGTCTTGAAGAAGTGATTTGAATGGATTCTATTTTGATGAGCAAAAGCCAAGCAGGCACATTAAGACATTCAATCTTCTGTCAGAACAGACAGTGGAGGGAACAAGCAGCAGACTCTGTCAACACTCTTTGCCCTAGGCACAGCCTTTCATCTATCAAACTTTGCCACACTGGGGGGTCTGCTGCTATTTCAGGACTCCAAAAAAATCTAGAACCCCCCACCTCCCCACACACACACACACACACTGCACATTTATAACCAAGTAAGTGTTCAGCCAAAACCCATACAGCGACACACACACACAAAGACTTCCCGGATTTGTTTGTTTGTTGACTGGGATTGAGGTATTGGCTTCAACACTGACAGAACATGGGAGGGCGGGGGGGGGGGCTGGACACTGGAGACCAGTGAGGAGCATGCTGAGACAAATCAGTTTTAGAAGAAGACAATCTGCAGATTTGTGTGTAAGGAACAGTCTGCATCTATTTCGGATTTCAATAAAAAAAAAGATGAAAAAAAGCAAAAAAAAAAGTGACTTTTCTCTGTTAATTGTGAACCCACAGCAGACACCTTGTTTAAACTAAAAAAATAAGATCTCTGAGATCTATTAGCTCATCAATAAACAGCAAAAAAAAGCTGCTCAATTCAGAAGGGCTATTAACGTTTAATGGTCCGACATTTTTAAGGCAAAGTAAAAAAAAAAAAAAAAACACATTAAATTGGGTTTAATTTGGGCAGAAATGATGAAACTCTCCAAATAATCGATAATATTCGGTCTTATTGTAACGCTAAGCAGTTTAGCTTAGAGAAGCAGTTAGTAGATGTGGTTAAGCTGCTATTGCCTTAAATAGTCGAATGTGTCAAATATTTATTCTTAGATGTCTCTTAGGGTTACTAACTTTTTAAGATGTTAAAGAAGTAAAAATGTTTACCGACTGCATGAAGATTGTCGTTTCAGATAATAACTGATAATCGACACATTTAGAAAACATTTTGCATAAAAAGAACTTTAGTATTTGTATTAGTGTTAGAGAAGACAGCGTGGATCTAGAGATGCACCAGTGGATTTAAGGCTAAATGGAATAAACCAGTTTACTACTGACCAAAACTGGAACCAGAACCAGTCAGTAAAACAAGGGAAAAATCTGCTGTTTTTTCCTGTATACCGAATGATTTCCACCAGTGCTTGTAGAACAGACTGGCTTCGTCCTCATCCAACATGCCAATAGGATCAGGGAGGGGGGATCAAGTAAAAGCCTTTTTTCTGCTCATGCTAGCGTCCCCACTTTTAGCAAATCTTGCGAGTGAGCTGTCACTTGAAAAGACAGACTCGCCTTTTTACAGATGTTTTCTCTGTTGCACGTTAGGAGCCAGAGTAACAAAAGAAAAGACAAATCATAAAGCGTGTCTTAGCTGTACTCCTATTACCGCCATTTAATTTGAAATCCATCATGCACCTCCTGGTTGTTTACATAAAGATAAATGGGTTTTAGAGGGAAGAGAGGCAGCTTATTAAATATGTTTTATGATATTTTTTATTCCAAATCTTTAATGCTGCTTTCTAACACATATAAAGGCGTTACTTTTTATTCTATTGACTGGATGTGGTGCTAAGATGCTTGATTTTCAACCTTATTTAACTTAATAACTTAATCAACTTATTTCAACCGTTGCGTATATTAGCTGCGACATATGAATCAAGATGCTATGACTGAGAAAATTTGATTGACAGATGACTTTTGATACATGATTGGCTGAATTTAGGTGTTCAGGCTGATGTATAACTAACTGGCCTGCATAAAATAACGAAAAAAAAAACACTGATTTTAAGACAAAATTTTTAAAAATAATATACATTTTCTAACTTTTAGGACAATATGGTCTGATAAAGGGTACGTTTATATACATGTTTAAGTCAGAATGATTTGAAATTTAAATATAACTTCCCAATGACTTTAAAGTTAAACTTTATTTCCATTATATGGTTTTATTTGAATGTTAAAATCTTCACAGGCTGAGAGTTAATCCTAAAATGATCCAAAAACAGTTTCACTGCAATCGAATGAAGAACCGTAGTGAGAAATCAGCGACATCTGACTAATTATCATTTCTGGTATGTGAGAAAGGTTAAGTGGCCCATTAAGAGCCAAAATGGCACCAGTATTGGTTCTGCCTGGAAAAACCTACTTTAAAGCATCTGTAAAACTGCTCATCTGCTTTTTTATTAGCTACTCTAACACAAATAATAATCAGATATTACTTTATAAATTCTTTGATTAACGATACAGTTTTAAGATGCTTTTAAAATAAAGTGCTTTTTTTTAAGGAAGAGAAAAAAAAAATTCTGTATCCTGCATGAATTTACTCTATTATCTTTATCCCATGTAGTATTTTTTGCACCATGTTTTTTTTTTCTCACACACTGTTTACATTTGATCCCTGCTGCAATTTAAGAAATGGAAATATTTAATGCAATTTCGTGTTGTATACACCCTTTGTATACCTAACACAGTATGACAATAAAAGATGTCCAAGTCTAACTAAGTATTCGCACATACGTTTGCAGGTCTTGGGAGTGTCCCTGGGATGAGCGGGAGGGGATTGGACACGTATAAGCTTTTGCTTCTTCCATCCCCTTTTCAAGCCATGCATATGTATTGTTTGTCATTATATGTATTGTAAAATGTGTGCAGGTTTGAAATAAACTTTTTGAAATGAAAAATACCTCAACTAAACGTTGAAACCTGTATTACATATGCAGCTATTGTGGTTTTATTTATATCAAAGTGATGGACAATTCTTCAGGCTATAGGAATATTCGCCTGATTGTGTCTCTATGTTTCATCATCTGTATTAACATTTCAGAAATTAGTTTATACTCTTATCTCTTTTTATATATTTACCATTATAAAGTAAAAAAAAAACTCTGAATATAAATAATAATTAACCAAATAAGTGTGAATACTTTTTTACTCACTCTATAAATAGAAAATGCAGATTTTCATACTGTGAACTCTTAGGAGAAACACTAACAAAAGGTTCATGTTGCAACAAGTGGCTAAGATTTAAATTTGTGTGTTTTACACACAAAGCTTTAAGAACCCAAACGGGTGAGACCGCGGCGACAGTAAAGTCCTCCAACCAACAGCAACATGGGGGACGACTAACATGTTTAAAATGTTTAGTGGAAAAACTTTTTTGAGAGATAATCTTGAAAGAGTTTCCTGGTTATAAATAAAAGGAAAAGAATTTCTATAAAACTGTTTTTGTAAATGAAACTCCACCAGAAAAAGCTTTAAATTTATTATCATGTTAATGACTAAACATCAGCAATGCCCCTGGAAAACCATGGTTCATTTTCCAACGTTTCAAAAGAAGGTTACCACACATTTCTGACATTTATAACATGATAAATTTATCATCTAAAAAAGGATTAATTAACAGATTTTGTGAGGAATTTAAATGCAGCTGCAGGTTTAATTAAACATTTCTGCCTTTCACATGAATAGATGATTTATAAATGAATCACCTCTGATTTAGAAACTCTCAAATGAATCAGATTCACCAACATCTCCATTAGTGATGTAACTTTACAGCAGACAGGCCGCAGAGGACCGACCTCTCACCTTTAACCTGTGAGCCGCCCGGACGTCTCCTCCGCCATCTTCCTCTCTCTGTCCAGCAGCAGCTCCCGTCCCATCCTCAGAGGCCCGTCCTCCAGCCAGCTCCCGAACATCTCCCGCGCTCCTCCCATGACTCCCCCGTTCTGGGAGCCGTTCTTCATTTCGACCATACTCTGCTGCCTCAGTCTGTTGGACAAATTTTAACACCACAGTTACGGCAGTGGCATACATCATTAAGATCCATTATTGTTTCTAAACGCTGCTACTGAGACCCTGCTGGTCATCAATGATGAGCCTCATATGAATGTTAATGTGTTTCTGTGTCCTCTGGGTTTCACTGGTTCAGACAGCGATGCACAGGACAGCGTTCTGCTTTAATAATTCTCTGCAATGAAGGCATCTATGATAGATCATACTTATAAAAACCATAAAAATATGAGATGTTTAGTGGTAAAAGTATTCATGTGGATAAAGACAAACATCTTCTTTCAAAAGTAAACTAATGTCGACTCATTAAGTTGTTTACTTCTCTGCTGTTAATTACAGTTTTCCATTTTCTTGTAAACAGTCTGTTGCTGTTTTTTTAATGCAAAGTTATTACATAGTTCATCCTTCTGAGTTACACATTTCATTTGATCCAACTATCCAATTTGTGATAATGGTACGGTCATTTTTCCTTCTGATGTAAACACCTTAATTTCGTCTCTTTGAGACAATAATGGAGTATTTTGTTCTAATTTAAACACACTACATCCTTTAAAAAGTTTTGCAAAAAGCATTAATCTTTTACTCCGTGGTCCAAAATCAGAAGGTTTTAACATTAAGGGCCTGATTTTAATTTTTTAAAGTCATGTACATCCTTTCTTAGTTTCAAAAAAGCTGTGCATGACTTTACACTTTAAAGTGATCACTGTAAGCGAAATATATTTTCTTGTATAATTTCTGAATTGGTTATTGTTAAGGAAAGTGTAGCTTAATTTAGTTGTAAGAAGGCAGGCGTTCATAAGCTTTGCCTTCAGCCTTTCAGTCACAATACTGTCATGGGTACTGAGTCATAGGAAGGGCTACCAATACTGAAATAGAATAAAATAGGTTAGAAAATCAATTTATTCTCCCAGAATGGAGAAAATCTGGTGTTTAAAACACTCTTTATTTTATAATCAGTTATTATACGTTCCGCTTTTGGAAAATCATTGATACTTTTGACTGAGAGGGGAACTCATGATAAGACAAAATGCACAAAGGGGTAAACAAGTCAAAAAAGGTTGGGAAATTAGCTCCTACTGTCTCTCTACTTGTACGTCAACCTTGAAGATATCCCTACATATTCCTACAAAAGCAGCTCTCTTAAATAAAAATCCATACTCTTTAGGTTGTGTTCAGTTAAATGAGAAATTCTGAATTTCCGTTTTTCTGCACTAATTACTCCCAAAGTTGATCTACAAGGTTTAAGTCTGGACTCTTTGCAGACCAGGCAAGCTTATCAACCCCCAACTTCACACATTTGCAGAAAGGGAAGTGATTCAATCATCCAAATGAACTGGTATGATGGTGCGACCAAGAGACAGATGGTCTATTTCATACCTGCTGCAATTGTCCTGCTTAATAACATGAAACCATGAGTGCTGCAGCCTTTGCTAATGCTGACTGATGACACCAAGGTTGATCTGTTATTTTCTTTATAGACCAATGCATGGATTGTTTGTTCTCTGCTAATTAATGTTCCCATTGGGGACAATAAAATTACGATTGACCATTAATGATGAGTACGTGTGAGTGAAGCCTTATCATGGTGGTTTGACTTGTTTTAGGAAGGTATGATTCAACAATTACTGGATACAATATTAGGAACTGTCGTCATTTCGGATACCGCTCTATTTTACATTTTCTACAAACCTTTGTGTAGTTAGCATCAGCCTACACATGGACTAAGCTTGAGATTAGCATTTCTTTCTATAACCTGGCAAAATGCATCTTTCCTTGATGAAATTCAATAAAATATTTCTGCATCGCCTCAGTATAACAACAATAATCATCGTCTACTGTATGTGCAGCAAAGGAAAAGCCATTTTCCACTCTACCATCAAATACCACAAATGTTTGAAGTTTTTTTAACTCTTCAGGGATTATTTGCTTTAAAGTGAGGTGACTAAAACTGAGCGTCACAACAAACCATCGTTAGGTGGTTTAAAGATACGATATAAGTGAAAAGGCCCACTGTTAAGTGTAAGTATAGTGGAAGATCTGTGATGATGTAAGGTTGCGTATCTTCCAAATATCCTGGGAAACTTGAAAGGCTACCTAGATGCTGTGAAATACCCCAATATTTAAATAAACATCTAGTCAAAGCTTCCAGAAAACATAAAATGGCTCCCAAGAGACAAAATCCTCCAGCTTCTATGTACTTCCTGCTCCTCAGATCTAAAACTTATAAAGAACCAGCATGGTGAGCGGAAGAGGGGAAGTCATATATGATTGTCATAATCTCTTTGCTCTTCGCCTTTGTTTGCAGTGATGCTATCCATTAACAGGATGACCAAAGAGTCATCCAAATATCCTGCCGCATATTTGTATCAATCAGCTGTCCAAGTTGTTTTTTACTAAAACAATAAAGAAACAATAAACCTGCTGGTTTGATTTTCTGCATTTAGAGCAGGTATCTCAGTATTAATCACTCATGAGGGATTTCAATGTCAGGAGAAAGTAGCCATCATTAAAACCTTTTTATATTTATACCTGAATAAGACAAGATGCATTTTAATAGGAGGGATGAAATGGGTATAAAGGAAACTGCTATTCAACTAGCATGGCATCAAATAACACCTCTTAGAGGTACCGTAATATACTACTAAGGTATTGCTTGTTAAATCACTTTATATCGATATATATATACCTTAGGGTAAGGCTGTCTAACGTAGGACATTTTACAAATGAAAAGCATCTGCTAAACTTAACTTTTATCTAAAAATATTTAAAGATTAAATCATCATTTTATCATGTAATTTTAAGTAAAATAATCAATAGTCACATTGATGTTTTCTTTATGATCATAAAACTTATTTTATCAATTCTAGGTTTCAGAAACAGAACATTTTATGTTTTTGCAGGTGAAAAAATAACATTTTTTAGCATTTTTTTTCCTTTAAAGGCTCAAGTTTAGGACCTATTTCATTTTTAGCTGCACAATTATAATTATAAAATCTATGATAAGATGTATGTGGCTTTGAGTTTTAACACAACATTTGGGATGATGGGTGGGATGTGGTGTATTCCTAAAACTATGGATAACAGGAATAAAAAAAAAAAAATTTGAACTTTCTTATATTGACAATATGTGCATGGCATGACCCTTCATCTGCAGGTTATTTCCACTTATATATATTTTTTTACCAATTAGTAGAAAAAAACAACAGAATCACCACTTAATCTATAACCTGATTCGTTCACATTTGTTAATTAACAGGAAGTAACAGTTTTTACTTTTTTATGTACAAACAAACAGTTTTTAAACTCCTCTCATTTTCAGTATTTTCTATTTCTATGACTCCAATACCTTGAGTTTCCTCCTTTTTTAAGTATCAAGGATTTTCTCCTAAACTTGCTGGAATTGTTTTCTCCTGTTTTGAACCCAAGTTTTTAGAGGAGCCCAAAGATTTAGCTTTCCTGGAAGAGTTTAAAGCTTTTAAAGAAACGTATTCACCTTTTACCGGTATTGTGTTGACTTTGATTTTCTTTCATTAATTTATTTAGACGTTAATCTCTTATTTCGAGTTTGCAACTTTTTTAATGTGGAAAACCTTAAACTAGGTTTCCATAAAAAAAAGAAGCTTTCATCTCAAGGTAAATGAGAAGAAACAAATCTAACATTCCTTAGATTTAAATATATTTATCTTTTTATTTCCATTTTTAAACTATTCTTATTATAGTTTTCTACCCTGCATGTCAGATCTAAGTAGTATTGTAAACAGTTATTTTTTAATTTTCAGGATTTAAGGAAAATATAAAAAAAAGGTTATTTGGAGCTTTAAAAGTATTTTGTTTGTCTCAGTTCTGAATGTTCCTTCTAACCCGCTTCTCCAACACACAATTATTCAGCGCACACAGGAAACTGAATAAAAAGCTGCTTTAGGGACTTTTTTTTTTTTTATTTAGAGGGTAGCTTTTAATCACTTTTTGTGATATTAAAGGTAATTAGGTGATTGCCCACTATTATATTTAATAAGAGTGGGTCATAAGTGGAAAATGTTTTAATTAGCCAGAAGAAACTAATTATTGAAAAAGAAGGCCACAGTCTTTGGGTAATTTGAAAATCAAAATAGTTAGCTGACACATTTATGTGAAAACCGTATGTTGTGCTAAAAAAACTGTAAAAGAATAAATTTTATTCATTTTATTTGACGTTAGGAGACAAAACAGAAAATAGGTTCAACCTTAAATCTGGTGTGAGTCGACTTCAGCAACGTGTCTGCATCTTTATGTGCTTTATGCATTCATTGGTTATAGATTTTACAGAATCATCAGCAGGAAGAAGATGTTTTAAATGCTGCGAGTGCAGGTTCACCTGGTTGCTTCTTCTTTCTTTTTTTAACAGTGCTGTGCCTGAATCTAGATCTCACTCCTGGGAAGAATAAAAATGCTTGCCAAATTATTGTGCAGATATTGGTTTCCAACCTCATGGACGTGTTATCTGGCCAAACACGTCCCAAGCTGCTTGATAGGAAGGAAGACTAAATGATGTCCCGTATATTCGTTTAATACCTTGAAAAAAATGTTAATATGGTAACTAGAAATTAAAAACAAAAAAAAGCTGGAACCCATAGAGAGGGAGAAACTGAATTCATTTCTCTTGCACGGGTCCCCTGAAAAAAGTGCCTGTAGGCATTTTTTTTTCTTTTTGCTGAAGCTAATAGGAGAATATTTAAGTGAAGACTGACTGCAAAAAAGCTGAGAATAAGTTCAACTAAAACTCAGAGGAAATTAAATGATGAAATTCAACCACCTTGGGAATTAAATTTAAATAGACTTACATTTTATGATCAGTTTTACAATCTGAGCCAACAGTGAGTTACCCTGCAAGCTGTTTTTTATGTAATAATCACAAAAAACATATGGATTTTCTACAAATTACAGGACAAAACAGAGGTTTTAGTCACAGGTCGTCAGACGCACTGTGCAGATAATTAACAACAAATTAGTGGCTCTCTGTCAAGAGCTAAGAAGTGTTTTTTAACTGCTCATTACGAACAACAATCCGTTTCTTCTCAATCAATGTGAACATCTTTATCCTTGCTGATAGAATTTGCAAAAACAATTCTTGTTTATTTCTTGCCTTCCAAAAAACGAAATCAAAAACATCCCATCAGAGAATGAGTCCAAACCAAAGCTCCACACTTCTCACTGAAAAGCAGAAAGAGATCCCACATCCTGTTAATATTAGGGGCCCCTGCAGTGTCATATTTCTGTGTCTTTCAGCATTGATTTTTAAACTTCAAATGGGATTAGTCCCGAATAATTGTCTTATTTGCTTTACGCTTCCATTCAGGTCCCCAAGGTCTGCAGATGCAGGTATTTCATTAATCCTGAAAGCAATGGAGAAGCATCTTTTAATTACTGCTGGCTTCCACTGTGCAATGGCCTTCCCCAGGACCTGAGGGCAGCTGGAAGCGTTCAAGGTTTTTAAAGGCAAACTCAAGGTGTGTTGATTTAATAAAGCTTTTAATCATCCACTGTTGCCACCGACTAGATATTTACTTAGCAATCTTTGTCTTTCATGTGCAAATATCCACCTTTGACAGAATAAAAGGTCAAAGTAGCAGAACTTCACTGCACCTAAAGTGTCCACTCTGAACTCTTCTGCAACTTGGAAATGTATTATAAAACAGTTTTATACTTGACTTAATCATTGCTACCTTTTTTTCTTCTATTTTAAATTTTTTTTTATTTTATTATGTTTTTTCGCTGATTTTAGAAAGATTAATAGTTTCTCAAATTGCCTACTGTGTTTTACCCAAGCACTTTTCAGAGTAAAAAGTATTACAGTCCACACTTGATTAGCCTTAATTGCATTTGTAAGCTTTGCAGTTGGTTATAACAACAATAAAATTTCATAAACAGTAGCAGCATCAAACAAATCTTAAAATATTTTACATATTGTGTAACTTTTAATAAAAAAACAAACCTTAATAGCCCTTGTTGGATAGTGATGATTCTAAGCTAAGAAGCAATTGTAAATTGTTAGCAGCTACTGACTAACCAGTCACACAGCTTAGAAATAGTTGCTCATTTCATTTCTTTACTCTGGAATAAAAAAAGCTGTTAATCAACAATTATAAACTTCAAATTCTACTTTAACTTATTAAAAATTTCTGCCTTATTTGGAGTGTTATTTTTTTTTAATCTTTTTTTTTGTTTACTTATAAAACATTTTACAATGCTTGACCTTAAAACCCTGACTTGTGTTTTTTTTTTAAACACAGATAAATAAAATTAGAATAAAATTGACTAATGTACCACATTAACATTAACGTCAGTCAGCTCTATTGCTTAAACATAAATTACTGTATCTGAAATGAATCGGTTTAAAAAAATAAAGCTATTTAAGCAAACACATCAAAAGCCATATTTGTTAAACTACTGATATATAAAAAACCTAGTTACTAAAGCTACCACAGGGACTTACTTTGACATTAATATTGTTATGCTGTGCTTACTGTATGTGTTTACTGGGCTACTTTTTTGTGTGTTTTTTTTTTTTTGTCTATGTTGTTTTGATAAAAATATAAAAAAAACACTCATATATGTATGTATATATATATATCTATATATATATATATATATAGATATATATATATATATATATATATTTATATATATTTTTTTATTTATTTTTTTTCTCAAAAACTACTAATTTGCTAAAACCAAAATAGAAATGAAAGAACACCAAGTTACCTGCCAGCCAGCTGGTCGTGGAGCTCAGCATGCTGTTGATTGTTCAGACTATTGGATCGCTGGTCCAACAGCCAACCCAGATCCAACTCGAGCACTTTGTTGTTGTTGTTCGTCACAGCTCCTTCCTGACAACGTTGGATGATGCTGGATGCTGTTCTCTCCGGGGAACACGCAGGCTGCCCATGCCCTCCGTTTATTCCATTGTTGTGAAACAGTTCTGTCAACTCCATATTCTGTAGCCGGGTGTCGGTGAACCAGCGAGCGAGTCCTTTCCGACCCTCCAGCTGGTGCAGCTCCTCAGGGGAAGGCCACCGTGTTTGCGCAAAATCGTCCTTGAGGAGCGCCAGTGATCGGCTGTCTGGAGGCACTGAGCAGGTATTTAAGTTAGGGATGGAGGAGGGAATGGAGAGGGCATGCGAGGGAAAAGGAGGACTCTTAAGGTTGACCACATTAGTGTTTGTTTTGTGGACCCCATTCAGCTGTAGGGTTTGATGCTGTTGATGCTGTGGATGTAGCTGTTTCTCTCCTATACCAGGAATGCCCAACTTCTTGGTGCCCATGGAGTTCAGGAGAGCTTGTTCCAGGTTGTCGCGTAGTGCACGGCGCTCCACAAACCAGCTGTCAATTTCCTGATGAGACAGGCGGGTCGTGGATGCAAGATTATCCACGTCGCTGTGTGTGGGGAAGCTGTTCCGCAAGAAATTCTCCTCCAAGACTTTCAGTTGTTTTGCTGTTTTTCCTTTCATCCTCTCCAGCAAAGGGAACTGGGTCATCACTGAAGACTTTTGATGAAAATCTGTTTTTTGTAGTGCTGGTGCATCGCCACCATCCAAATGTATGATTCCGTTATTATGAGCAGGGAACGTCTGGTCCTGGAACAATTTACCATCTGAACGAGATGTCCCATTAGCCTCAGTCAGAGGACTGACAATCTTATTTCCTCTGGGGTAGCCGGCATTTAGTTCCACACTCTGGTGCTCCTTTAGCTTTTTGCCCTCCAGAGAGAACCCCTGAATTTGTGAAGGGACTTTAACTGGACTGCGGACAGACTGGATGATGGGTGGCCGCCTTATGTGAGAGTTTATCAGCGGAGGAGAGTTTGGCAGGTTCAAATCAGGCAAAGGGTGAGTATTGGCATGTTTTTCTTTGGGAGTAACATTTCTACCAAGAGGGATGAGCAAAGAGTTTTTGAATGGTGGGGCATATATAGGAGGAGGAGCTATCATCGGCCTTGTTAAGGACTCCGGAAACACCATGGAGGGCAAAGAGACAACCGGCTTGGTCTTGGAGTTTCCAGTTGCAGAGAGGATCTTCCCTTTAGAGGAAGATAGTAGTGCTGATGAGGAAGATGGTGGCGGCATTGAAGGCACTGGGAAAGATGGCCTTTTCATTTCTGCACTGACCATTGAAGCTGCTCCAGTTCTTTTAATTTCCATAGGAACTGGTGGCGGAGCCATTGGTAGGCGGTCTTTTTGGGGTGGAGGTGGTGGTGGAGGAGCCATAAGAAGTTTGTCTTTAGGGTCACCAGAATGGGGGGCGACCGCCATGATGGGTCGCTTCGCCTCAGGACCAAGTGCTGAAGCTAAGTGTGTAGGAAGGGATCGTTTAAGGTTGTGGCTGGAACCTATTGTTGCCCCTGAAGAAGAACTTGTGGTGGAGACGATGCTTAATTCACTGGAAACAATAGTCCGCACTTGACCTGGGTGCTCGACGGTTGTGTGGACGACAGGCTGCTTGGAGGCTTTGGCAGCGGGATGAGACATAGGGCTGGTAAATGTGTGATGGGAGGGAGGAATTGAACCATTGAACATTTTCTTTCTGGCTTCCTCCACCTCTTCTGGAGACCAGGTGATCCCTTGCTTCAGCCTCTGGGTGGTGAACCAGACTTTGATCTGCTCCTCCGGATGCTTGGAGGCGGCCGTGAGCCACGACAGCTCAGCATGAGTTGGGTAAGGAAACTTGTTAAAGGAAGAGATTAATGTCAAATTGTCATCTAAAGAAGGGTTGTATTTGGTGGTGTTCAAGGGAACTGCTATTTTTGGTACCGAGTTAAAGTTGGGTGGGCGCTGAAGCATTGGGGTGACATGAGAGAGCCCTTGAAGCATGGCGGGTTCAGGTATGATAACTGTTCCGTTGATGTTCAACGCTGTGATCTGATCCTTCTGGATCAAGCCGTCCAGTTGGCTTTGAAGCTCTGCTCCTCCAAAGAGTGACTGTACGTTACTGGGCGTTTTCACTGTTGTAGATATGCAATGTGAAAACAAGGAGCTGCCGTTGCCTTCCCCATGTTCGTTCGTCATTTTGCATTCAACTGAATTGTCTTTGCCTTCGATTGTCTGCTCTAAGATAGTTTGATTGTTCCTTTGTATCCGTTTAAACTTGAAGCTTGTCTCACCTGGGTGCTGGCTTTCATTATGCTCTGTAAGTGAATCAAACTTCTTTGTGTTGAAGTTGCACACGGCACAGAGATACAGTGGATTCAGAATGACGTTAGGGTGCCTGGAGTCTACATGCTCCTTAAAGTCACTCAGATTCTGCGTCAGAAATGGACAGTATTTGCATTTGTAGCCTCTAGGCTGCTTTTTCTCTGACACCTGCTCAGATTCAGTTTCTTTGTCTTTCAATCCACTGATCTTTACATTTTCCATCACATGACTTTGATCTCCTTTATCAGACTCCTCCTCTTGTACTAATGGCTCAAGGTTTTGTGTTTCCACCTGCTTTAGAAATGTCCTCTTGTCTGTGTTTTCTGCATTTTCCTGCGGCAAATCTTTTTTCCTGTTGCCTTCCGAAGGTTCTGACAGTTCATTCTCTAACACAACGTTGTCAGTCATTTTTTCCACATCCTCTGGATCTTCTTGCTCATCGGGCAGGTCGCTCATGACCCGGACCATGCAAGGGGTGGAGGACTTTCTACGACCGGACATGATGGCTGCTGCTGCTGCTGGTGGTAAACGCTGTGCTGGTGCTGCTGATTCTGTTGAAGAGACTTCGGATTTTGACGGATGGTGCTGGTGACCGACAGTATTCGCTTCTTGGGTTTTTTTTTTTTTAAGCGTACCTTACTGAGACGGAATATAGCTGAAGATTGTGGATACTGGTTGGTGGGTGGAGGAGTAGTCTCCAGCGTGCAGGAGCGAGGGCAAAGCCCAGCTGATGGCGCGGGCCCAGGACCGGCTGTTCAGTGGCGTCTCCCGCTCACCGGCAGTGTCAGCTCCCAGCCTGGGCGTCATGGGAGGGCATCACAGACAGCAGCGGCGGTCAAGCTGCATGGGGACAAGCAAGAAGACAGAAAGTTACGTTAATAAACTCAGTCAATTATTTATTGTGAAAACCAAAGATCTAGAACTAGGACACAACACTATGGCGTCACATTTATTTCAAAATGCCCATGAGCAAAATAAACATACCATTATGTATGTTAAACTACTCTTGCGCATGGTTTATCTACCACCTCACAACAAAATCACACATGCTCAAGAAACTGCCGCCCCGAGAAACTCGCTGTACGCGCTCGCCAGCTCTTCCCACAAGCACTTGTGATCATGCTCGGGATCTCACGATTTTCTATCCAGTGGCCACGCTCGATGACGGCTGCACTTTCGAAAGCGTCTCTACTTGTCTCTTGGGCGGAGACAACCCCTTCTACAAGCCTCCTCCTGATTGGGCCTTGCAGACACGATCCCATGGGAAGTAGTGTCAGGAAACTTTTTACTGACTACTCGTCAATCATAACTGAAGATGACGGCTGGAGGCGGACAGTGGCGAAGGCTTCTCCTATGTTTGAGGTACATGGGAGTAAGTGGTAAGCATCAGTCAAAGGCTTCATGACACTAATTCCAGAGGGATTGTGTCTGCAAGGCCTAATCAGAAGGACACTTACAGAAGAGGTTTGTCTCTGCCCAATCTGTCAAAACACATTTTCCTACGCACAGGGAGTGATTTTCTTCTCTCAAAGCAGCAATTTCTAGCGCATGCGTGATTTTCTTGTGCAGTGGTAGATAAACATTGCGCAGAAGTACTTTAACATACATACAAGAATGTTTATTTTGCTAGCCCCGATTTTGAAATAAATGTGACGCAATACAAAACTCTCAAAATATAACACCAGAGTGTATTTGAACATGAACACAGACTTTATGACATTTATTTTTATCTTATTCCGATGGCAAATGGTCAATCTGTTTTTAGATCTTTTTTGCAGTAAACTGCACTTTTAAAACATAATATTCTTATTGTACAAATATGCACTAGTCTGGATCTGTGCATCAAATAAAACCACGAGAAAATGCATTGCAATTACGAATACTTACTGAATACTTTTGCAAGAAGCAGCAGTATTACCACAATCGTAATATATTCATGGCTGTGTATAAATATCCTGCTACTTCTAAGACACTGAGAATGAAGACTAACCTCAAATAGCCTTTCTTCCCTTAGACTCTAAACTCCGAAACCAAGACATACAATAAATTAATCCAATACACAGCAGCATCAATGACAACAAGCCCGTGTTTGTCCAAATATGTGAGCAAATCAGGAATGGACCAGTTAGTCTGTAGCAGAAAAGGTTTCTACTAATTTAAACATTCAGTTCAAAGTCAGGAGATAATATAATTCTTTATTTGAGAGTTTTCTGGTAAACCTCAGTCAAGGGGAGACAAACTTCCTTCTGTTCTGAAAACGCTAAAAATGAGCTGAAAAGGTTTGGGAACCAGTTCCCATTACACAGCCTCTGGTAAGTGCAAGTCAACATCTGCATTGACTTATTTAAGGCTCAAGTTAAGAAATGGGTGTTGTTCCGATTTCAAAGCGTATATAAAAACTTTCTTGGTAAAATATAATGGGGTAAAAACATTTGTATTAACATATAAGCTGTTTATTGATCCACAGGAGTTGATCTGATTCATTTACAAAGCCAACAGAAAGATGACGAAGGGTCAAAACATTTCAGCATCAACGGGTGACTTCAGCCGGATTTTTTTCCTTTCAAGTCATGGCCAAGTTTCTGTACTGGTAGTTCTCCAAGCATTACAGGAGCTTCTTTACGTCAGCCTTAATCAGATGCTGGCAAATTAAAAACACCTTGTGACAAAGCCAGAAGGCCTGGAGTTAAAACCGAGAGGAATCCGACTGACGACTGTGGAAGAGAGAGAGATGCAGAGAGAGCCGCCATTCTTAAAATATTATCTGAAATATGGCTGCCACTTAATCAGGACACAGTGTTCCAGGCCAATTGCTTGTAAATGTAATAAATTTGAAGAGTCCACGGAAACTACAAAAGACGCAAAAAAAAAAAAAGTCTCCAAACTCCAAACCCCATTAAAAAGACATTAGTCGTCTTTCATAGATTCGGGCAAAGACAACTTCACAGGATAATTACCCTGTAATCATGTAATAAGAGAGACTCTGTGATGAGATCTCCTGACAGCTATCATCCACACAATGGCAGAGAGACAGTGAGATAAAAATAGATGGGGAAAGGAAAAAGGAGGGAAGTGGGACGGCAGGTATGTATAAATATGGAGCGAAGTGGCGATAAAAAGGAGGATAAATGGAAAATAGCTGAAAATAAGGGATGAAACTAAAGGGGAGTGATACAGGTGAAAATAAGGTAAAGGAAAGGAGAGGAGTTAATAAAAGAGCGAGGAGTGAACTGGGCCATGGCCTGCACAAAGGAAGAGAGAGAATAAGGAGATAGGAACTGAGAGAAGATAAGTTAGAAAAGAAAGAAGACAAACAGAAGAAAAGGGCAAAGCACGTTAATAGACTTTCAAAAAGAAAGGAGGAAAACTTGAAATATATGAAGTAGAAATAAAAAAAGGAAAGAGGAAAAAGAATGAATATAAATTATTATTAAAAAGGATGCAAGAAGTTCTAGAAATGTAGCCTGATAAATTAGACCATAAACCCTCCTGCCAGGAATAAAAAAAATGGTATTTCAGTCCCTAATTAGTGTTGGGCAAGCTGTTATTTGTCCCACATGTCAATAAATGCTGGACATATTTCATGCTCTTGCAGTCTTGATCAGCTTCTCATCACTTAGTTTATAGCTGAGTATCCAGAGCCTAGTAGAAAGCAGTGCACTGTGCAATGAGACTGAACTAATCCTATGTTATTATAAATCTCATGCATTTACATTGCTGCTTATTTCCTGCTGCAACTAATGAGATTTTCTTATACAGCTAAAGTTAGAGCACAAGTGCTAGTGACTTAAGAAAGATAAGCTGATAAAAGGAAGGTACAGAACAGAGTGCTTTCTAAACTACATGAGGTCTGAACAAACTTGACTCAAAGTGTTACATTTACTCCATGGTGAAAAGAAATACTTTTAGTGTGATAGGGATTAGATAGAGTTCTTCCTAACTTTTCCACATTACTTTGATCCGAGAGGCCGACCGACAGTTGATATTTCAAAAACAGGAAACTCAAAGGCAGATATTCTATACCAGGTTTTTATTTCTGTCTTTCTATTCAATTTGCCCTAATTTTATTTCTCTCTTTTTGGACCTGGAATCAGATTTTACACATTTTCGACCATTAAAATATTTGGACCTTAGGATTTTTATCCTTTTAAAGCATCCTGTCCTGGCAGCTTTGGAAAAAAGCGGCAGAACTGGTGGCCTTTAACCCAGCATACGCCACATTGATCTATGTGGTTCAACTTTGCCTCAATAGAACCAGTAGTGGAAACACTTTGAATATTGCAAATACACATAGACTAAGAGATTTCACTGTGCTAAGCGCTCGATGTTCTAAAGAGTTTTGTGCAACATCCGATAGGACAGTGTGGCCAGGCAAGAATATTGTCTATATTTCTTTTGAGTGTCTATTGTCTTGATTTATTTGGGTAGCTGGATGATGACCTTCCTCTAATTATGAGCCAACAGTAGATGACATTTTGAACAGAACATTTCTTTAAAGATACATTATTTAAGTTTTACTGTAAAATATCTTTGCAATATCCTTTTTATTTGACTTTATGACTAAAACATTGTTTGATGAACAGACTGACACCTCAGTATTTCAGCACCAATGCATCTATAAGCTAGCCTCGTGAGACCATCCTGATCTCGCGAGCTTTCGAGATTTCACTCCCTAATCAGTCTGGAGACTCTCCGTTGATGAAAATTTGGAGCCGTTCACCAAACAAATGTCCAATCAGCGTTGGCTTTGAGGCGGGTTGAGGTGTGACGCAACGAGAAGCGCGACAGTTCAGTCTAAAGAACATGGCGGCTTCAGCCGATGAAACTAGCGTTAGCGTGGCTGTCGAGCAAGTTTTATCAGAATTACACTGTATTTCTTCACCGAAAGAAGAGCAAAACACTGCTCTGGAGGCTTTTCTCAGAGGAAAAGATGTTTTTGCACTTCTCCCGACTGGTTTCAGCAAGAGTTTGATCTATCAATTGGCTCCTCTTCGTCGTTGCTCTGTTATGTCATATGCTTCGTTGATCTGATCGTCTATCACTAACATAGGCCAATCAGCTAACCAGTATTTTCGCCCCTTCCCAAAATTACTTCTACGGAAGGTTTCCAGATGGATATGCGGAGCAAATCCATCTGGCAGAGTCAGGTTATCTATAAGCCACTCGCCTATTTTCCTTAGTTTACTTTGGGTCGAACTTTCCCGCACTGCTCGTTAGTTGCAAAATCAAGCAACCTAGAAAACAATTGAAGGGTTATATTCAAGAAGGATTTTGTTGGTACTCAGATGCGACCAGCGTCCAGTCTACTCAGACACCAATGGTGATTCCACGTAAGGTAGTAGCAAGAGCAGGGTTCCTTCAGCATAAGGCAAGTTAAATTCAAGACTTTTTACGACTTTTTAATGCCACTTGAAATAAAATTTAAGACCAAATTCACAAGAAACACAAGAAAAACCTGCTTGCGACAACTTAACCCAAAGATTTATTTTAACATAAACCACTGCACTAATGTTTCAAATTTTGAAAGTCTACCCATACAGGAAGAAAGCTAAAAACACACAAATGACAGAAATATTTTAACAATTATTTAACTGAATTCACAAACTTTGTTTTAGCAGAGACAAGGGTGGAACAAAACTGAGAAATACCGGCTGTTTCTCGGTAACTTGATATGGACGCTTTGTGTTTCACATGCTACTCCACTGCCTTAATTCCCATCGTTCCGAGCTTGAATTAGTTCTTGCACAAAATACTCTGTGCCTCATGTATGTTCCCTGGTACTGTTTTTAGCCATGGAGAAAACTCTTGGCTGGAGCCAATTTTCGTTACATTAACACTTGC